GTACCATCGGAATGGGACACACTGTTCCACCACTGTACCATCGGAATGGGACACACTGTTCCACCACTGTACCATCAGAATGGGACACACTGTTCCACCACTGTACCATCGGAATGGGACACACTGTTCCACCACTGTACCATCGAAATGGGACACACTGTTCCACTACTGTACCATCGGAATGGGACACACTGTTCCACCACTGTACCATCGGAATGGGACACACTGTTCCACTACTGTACCATCGGAATGGGACACACTGTTCCACTACTGTACCATCGGAATGGGACACACTGTTCCACCACTGTACCATCGGAATGGGACACACTGTTCCACCGCTGTACCATCGGAATGGGACCCATTGCATCTTTAAAGTGATATCTTTCAGATATTTGGTGGCTTTTCAGATGTGCAGACCCTTGGCCTGGGCAGTTCCACGGGTGTTCTTAAAGTGAACCCGAAGGTTTGATCCTCTTGATTTGCATGATTTTGTAGGGTTTTCTGGGTCAAGAGAGTAGTGAACCATCTTCACAGGTTCAGGCTGCTTACAGGAACAGCTTGATAAGGAATCGTACATCCTAAGTAGCCACATCCATCCTGCCACTATCAATAAAATGTCAGCCTTCTGAGGGGTCCCAGGCCAGATATGGGAGCTGTGAAGCAAGAGGCTAAACTGTAGACCCCTTCGGATCGTGTCCCTTGTGGAGCCTGGTGTGGTCACCCACACTTCCTCTCTGTATCAGTAAGTATATCTTTTTCTTAATTCTGCCATGTGGAGTAAGTAGAAATGGGCATTTGACTGAACCAATTCTATTTTGGTGCCGCAGACCCTGTCAAAGCATTGCCTTTAGTATCTTTCCATATGTAAGCTGCCTCCAATTCCAGGGGTGGGGTATGCACAATCAGCCACCAATACACTCCTGGTGGAAGGCATCAAGCCCAGAATAAATTTGCAGATATTCACTGGCTGTTTCCCAAAGCCTTGGATTGGTCTTAGTGGTAGAAATCAATTTTCCCAAATTCCCTAAACAGAGAGGCACGGTCAGATAGGAAAAGAAGCTAAAAATAATCGTCACTGTTGGACATTCTCGCCACTTTTAAATAGAAGGCAGCATTGCCTTTTAAAGGCAAAAAGGGACAGCTGTATAGACAGGGATAAAATCAGCCGAGCTCAGAAAGGCACAGACCTGGGAAGTGTAAGAACACTCTTTCTATTAGCATCGCAAGGAAACTGCAATTGTAACAAGCAAGGGCTGCCAGTGCCCATCTCATCTTCCCCATCTAGCCTTGTCTCCTCCTGCACGGAGTGGACATTCCTGGAATGGGGACAGCTACTCTCTTCCACCCATGTGCGAGCATGCACGTGTTGTGTAGGTAGGTAATGGCCATTTCAAAAAGCAGAGTCCTCACTCTGGATTCTCACCCCAGCTATGGGATACGAATGTAAATAGCCCAGCTTCCCCCCTTTGGTGGAGCAACCTGAGTGCGTTCCAGCATCTCAGAAGGCTCCTGGCAAGATTAAACCCCACCTGACCACTGCAGGGGCCTGTTCATTACACACTGGTTTTTCCTCCCTTATTTCTCCCTTCTCTGCTAACATCCTTCGCCTTTCAAATTACCAGCCTCTCCATGCTTTTGAGTTAACTTTGGAGACCTGAGTCAAGAGTATTTTCTGACATGGATTTGGTCTGGGACACTCAATGCCCATGCCATCCCCGCAGGGCCCTGTCACTGTTAACACTAGTCCAGTCTTAAAACTCACATGGACAGAAACAAAGCCCCCAATAGTTTTCCTTCAAGAAGGTACAAGGATAGGCTGATTTCCCACAAGTGCCACCTGACCTACCAAGTTATATGGCAAACACAGCCTCATGCTTATGGGCACACCCATAGGAAAGATTAGCAACGATTTCGATGTTGAATGAATCACCGATGGAAACTACGGTAGGCGTGTTAGAAAAGAAATTAACAAGGGTCAAAGTGTCTTCTGGCCATGATGGGCTCACGAGCTCACTGCAGCTGCCGCTGCCTGCACAAGATCAAGCCAGGCTACATTCCAGCACGCAGGTGGGAAACTCCTAAGCTCCCACCCCTCGCGGAGGAGCTGTTGACAGCCAATGGGTGCTAAAGGGTGTGGCCCTGGTAGGAAGCCCAACCACACTCCAATAGATGCGCCCACATTGATGGGGATATAGGCAACACTAACTGAACCAAGTGGGTTAAAAAAAAAAAAAAGACATGAAATTGTGGAGTGAACCCATGAGGACATTAAGTGGGGAATATGTCACTCTCAACCAGTAACAGATGGAAAAGATTCAGTAGAAAGAAACCGGCATATCTATTTTCTAGAATAAGCATTATCAGGAACACGTTTGTTATTCATAATACATTTTACAACTATGAGACATGACTAACAGAAAGCTCCAACTTGCCTTGTTATAAAACAGTGATTGCAGCTTGGGGACCTTGGGAGAGAGTTGAAGGGGAGGGGAGAGGCAGGGAGAGGAGCAGAGAAAAATGCAGAGATCAATAAAAATCAATTTTAAAAAAGTGACTGCTGCATTGAATAGCCTCCTTCTCAAATCACCAAAATGTTTACTAGGTGTTCCCAAGGCATGGCTGCTCCCACAAGCCCCGGCTAAGAGCACATTTTTGTTTTTGCAGTCCTAAGAACTGAACCTGTGTCCTAATGAATATTCACACTCGGCTACCAAGCAGCACCCCAGCTCTTGATGTCCTTCAGAATGGTCTATGTTGCTCAAATTATCCTTGACGAACCCTGCATTCCACATTGGTCCATAAGCTAATGATCCTCCTGTCTGTTAGAATTTTAGGCCAGTTTTCAGCAAAGTAATACTTATAACCCTCAACTCTAAGGGATCCCCAACCGCCTACTTCAGAGAGCTGCACTCACTTGTTAATCCTTTAGCAAGACTGGTTTCCTTGTTATCTAGTGACCACTAGGCTCACAGTGGGGACAGGAAAGTTTTCTGTTGACCTTGGCTAGCCTGTCTTAGGCAGACTTTGTACCTGGTTTTCCAGGTGTGGCTTTCAATAGTCCCACCTCATTCTGCAATAATTAGGAAACTCTACCTTAGAGCAATGACCTCATGTAAGAATCCCAAGCCCCCTGCCCCCGAGCAGCAGTCCTCTAGTGTTACACTGCATCTCAGTCTGGCTTTTCTTCCTTTGATAGCAATCATTCTTTGCCGGTCCTCTGCCTGGGTGGGGAGGGGGGAGTTTTGTCAGATGTAGGAAGGGTGAAAAAATGGTGTGTGCAGCTTTTCCCCACAGCGAGTAGGTAGGGTTTGGATCTGTCCCCAGTTACCTCCTGTGTGCCTGAACCCTTACTAGGGTTGGCAGGTGCTCTGCCCTGCTTTTCCCAGGTATGATGGGCCTTCAGTTCTGAGAGGCACATCCTTAACTGAGCCTTCCACCTACCCCAAAGACACAATAGTCCACACACAGCCTTTAAATATTTATATAATGACCTACACAGTGAACTACAGGCAACCAAGGAGTGCAGAAAGCGAGTAAAAATGGTCTCCAGGAAAAGCACACCAACTGGTTATCCAACGCCAGGTGAGCGTGCACACATGCACGTACCGAGCACACATGACAATGAATAAAAGAGAGGCCATACATTTGAAAAAGAGAGCAAGACATGGAGGGCTCAAGGAGAGGAAAGGTAAGAGGAAATGATATATTATAATCTTAAAAAAGAAAAAAACAAAAAAAACAAGCCAGTGGCATACACTTCTAATCCCAGCAGAGTAGAAGCGGGCGAATCAAGGCCATCCTGGTAAATTCCAGGACAGCCAAAGATACCTAGAGAGCCGGGCGGTGGTGGCGCACGCCTTTAATCCCAGCACTCGGGAGGCAGAGGCAGGCGGATCTCTGTGAGTTCGAGACCAGCCTGGTCTACAAGAGATAGTTCCAGGACAGGCTCCAAAGCCACAGAGAAACCCTGTCTCGAAAAACAAACAAACAAACAAACAAACAAACAAAAGATACATAGAGAAATTCTATCCCAAAGAAAAAGAAAAAAAGAAAGAAAATAAATAAAAAGTAAGAATTTGTAATGTCATGTCTGCTAATGTTTCTTTTATGCTGTGGGGATGGTGGCTCCTTTCCTCTGTGTCCTTTTTCTCCTTGAGGCTTACCATTCCTTGGGATTCAGCTGATATGTCTTGTAATCTCACCCTCAGTTGTTCAGCAAGTGGTAATTTTATAGATCACCCAGTTCTTGTTAAACTAATAAACATCTCAAGGCCATTACAGTTTCTTTTGAAGAACTGATTACCAAAGTTCATCCTCATTAGCCTCAAATTATTATTTCCATCATTGCATTTTCTAAAACCTGTAGTTATTTTTGCATTGTCTGGTAGACCTTAGCCCCATGAAAAACGTTGTCTCAATCATCACGGAGATTTGGCTCATATTCACACAAATATAAAATAAACCACCAAATCCTCTCACTTTAAATCACCTCTAGATTATTTGTAATACCAAATAAAGTTGTTAATATCTCATAAATGGTTGCTTATCAGGGAATAATGGCAAGGAAAATCTGTGCATGGTCAGTATAGATAAAATATTTTTCCAAATCTTTTGATAAGCAGCTAGTTGAATTCACATACATTGCCCCACAGGTATGAAGGACCAATGCTTTATCTCTTCATTATGTAATCCCTGTACCACAGACAACACAGTACTCAGAAATGAATGGGATGCTATACATGGCATGTATGCATGCTTTCTGACTATTTAAATGCCCACAGAATGTAAGGAACAGAGAGAGAAGAGGGGCAGGAACTCAGACATAAACTAGGGGATCATGTTCATAACTACCTACCAATTTCCATTTGTAATCTGCATGGGAAAATATATCTGCAATATCAAACAGGCTCAAAAACATAAGGAACGAATGAAAGACAGATCCTAAGCCACCCTTCAATTAAGTTCTAAGGAAAGCTGAAATAAATAGCAAAATATGGATCCATAATTCCTTATTATTTATTTTCCTCTTACAAAAGACAACTTGGACAAATAAATATAAAATGGTATATGTCATATTTAGAAATGGCCAAAGACACATTTTCTTGGTATTCCTCACCAGAATACACTAATAAAATCTTCAGAAACACATTCATCTTTCCTACCACCCACTTTTTTTGTCTTAAAAAAAGTCAATTCTTTTACTTCTCCACAATTTTTAACAATGAATTATCAAAATAAGTGATCGAACACTACTCAGAGACAAAGATTTTTAAATGAAAAGTTTTAAAAATACATGTGTGTACACACACAATATGATGTTGCACAGAAACTCGAACTAATGAATAATACAAGATTAATTTCCTAGGTAGCATGTCACAATTCTCCCGAAGTGTGAATAACCACCAGAAAGCCCAAAGCCAAGAGCCAACATAGTAAATCAACATGCAGTCAGAATCCTATGAGAGTCATATCAGGGCTCAGCGGTGGAGTTGACAATTCAGTCTCTTCACAGTGGGAGACGATGCTTCCTGATGGATTCAGGTCATGTCCCCTCCTGAGACACAGATACATCACTGCTGCTGAGGTCACAATTTGGGGCAATTTAGGAATCCAAATTTAGCTCGAGCATGTATCTCCAGTAGGAAATTGAAGACAGACAGTATAAATGGGAGCTCAGTGGAACCTGCCTGCAGTGCTCTTTTATTTCCCTTTAAGGCTACAGAAAATCTGACCATATGCAAGGAAATTAATTCTCATCATAAAAATATCCCTACAATAGCCAAGGCGTCCAGTCAGGTTCCACATGGAGTATGCTGTACCGCATTCTATTCCGAGGGCGTATTTTGTGAGTCCGCAGGGTTAGGATCAATTCTTTCTGGGAATATTAGCTTCTCATAAACTGCTTCCTTGATTGGTAAATATTGTGATATTTCGTTAGGTTCCGTGAAGAGGGAAGGTGGAACATGCTAGGGAAAACACAAAATCCTATTAGTATATTCTTTGTTTTCTTTTTTTGTTTGTTTAGTTTTGGTTTTTCGAGACAGGGTTTCTCTGTAGCTATGGAGCATGTCCTCCATAAAAAAACCAAAAAAAAAAAAAGAATTGGTCTAGACAATTTCTGAAATCTTATAGTTCAAACATTTACAAAGGATGCCAATTTCAAAATCAGGGACATCACATACATAAGGAGCATCATTAAGTTCTCCCCCAAATAACAGGTATTTGTCAGCGGGGCCATGATGGCACATGCCTTTAATCCCAGCACTCAGGAGGCAGAGGCAGGCAGATCACTGTGCGTTCAAAGCTAGGCTGGTCTACAGAGAAAGTTCCAGGAAAGGCTCCAAAGCTACAGAGAAACCCTGTCTCGGAAAACCAAAACCAACCAACCAAACCAGGTATCTGTCGTTACTGAATCACTGTGTTGTGAATGATCTTTGGGGAACTCAGGGTCATGTAATTTACAGTGAGTGCTACCGTAAGTGCTGAAAGAATGACACACTTTGACCAAATCCTTCCCTGGTTCCTGTTGAGTAACTTGAAAGACAAGTCTTGAATAAAGAGTCCAGTTCACAGTCTATAACAGAAGCTAGTAATTATTCTAACCAAGTGTATTCTGTATTTGGACAGAAGTAAATACTACAGGTAAAAAAAAGAAAAGAAAAAAATACTAAGTTTGTAGAAAGGCACTACCTTCTAAGTCACTCATTACAAAATCCAAGTACTAAGTAAGAGTCTCACAAGTAAAATATATGGGAAAATTATGCCAGAATACACAAGCCAGGGTACAGAATGACCAGTTTCTGGAAGAAAAAGGAATGTGTAAAAATATAAACATAGAGCTGGGCGGTGATGGCGCACACCTTTAATCCCAGCACTCACGAGGCAGAGGCAGGCAGTTCTCTGTGAGTTCAAGACCAGTCTGGTCTACAGAGCAAGTTCCAGGACAGTTAGGGCTGTTAAACAGAGAAACCATGTCTCGAAAAAACCAATGTGCGCACACACACACAATCGTATAACATACAAATAACAAATAACAACACATACAAATAACATACAGACTGAACAAGTTGTATTTATGTATTAAGAAACCCACACATACAAGAACTACAAAAAGAGGCCATGAATTTCAAAGAGTAAGGGGAGGAGGACAGAAAGGAGAAATTTATGGAACTATATAGAATAATCACAAAAAATAAAAAAAAAATTAAAAAAAAATCTAGACTAGTAAGGTGTTAAGTTAGAGGAACATCCAGTGGCACCAGCTGCAGCTATGGGACTCAGATCATGGCATCTCTGGGTCTTAGCTTCTTCAGAACAAACAGTGGAGATCACATGAAAGACAGCTAAGAAACCCAACAACTCCAAATGTCCGGGTACCCGAGACCAGCTCAGAAGAGATGCATGCCCTCAGCAGACTCGCTCTACAGAGCCCTGAGCATGAGCACATTTACAGATGTAAATTTAAATGAACAAGATTAGTGGGATGCCAGATTTAAAATGAATCATTAAAACTCGAGTATTTACCATTAAATTAGCAATTTTGCTCTCTCGTGATGTATATTCTCGTAACATGTAGGTCTTGTCAGCCTATGTTTAAAAATAAAAAAAAATTACAATATATTTATAAACTGATTTTACATATTCCTTCCTATAAAACAGACTGTCTACATTTTAGGACAGGTTGTAAGAGAAGCATGAAGTCTGATAAAAGCATTTGGCTCTACATTAAGAAACATTTTTAATTATCAAAAAGAATTCTGAAATACTATTTCCTATCCCTATAAATACAGCAACTCCAGATATACACAGGTAAGCAGACTTGATTATTACCATGCTAACATACAAGCACACAAAGGCTGCCCTTTGATGAGACATATCTATGTACAATAAAAATATAGAGATACATACTTACAGGCTTTGGATTTTAAATGAAATCTTTTAAAGCTATCTTATATTTTCACTGGCTTCCTCATTTCCAAAAAACGACAACAAAATTTTTTTCTTTTTTAAATTCTTTTCCTAGTCCCACAAATATTTTGCCAAATTCCTTACTTTACCAGAAGCAGGTAGACCTCTGAGTTCAAGACCAGCCTGGTCTCATAACAAGTCCCAGAACCAACAATTACAGAGTAAAATACCCTGACTCAAAAAAAACAAGACAACAAAACAAACCACAGCTGGTAGTACATCCAGAAAGCACTAGAGGGCAGCTAGCTAGGATAGCACATAAATGTAGCCACGGTACTTGTAAGTCTGAGGCAGGGAGTTTAAGGCCAGCCTGAGCTATACAGTAAAACACTGGGTGGGTCTACGGGGAAGCCACTCCTGATGGTGCATGTTCATAATCTCAGCATTTGGAGGGTGATACATGCCTCTAATCCCAGCATTTGGAAGGCAGAGGCAGACAGATCTCTTAAGTTTAAGGTGAGCCTGGTCTATAGAGTGAGCACCAGGACAACCAGGTTTCAAAAAACAAAACAAACAAATAAAATAAAAAAAAAAATTAGAAACCCACCCTTCTGTAGTCAGTTTTTCCCATTTAAGACTTTCACGGTTAGGTTAAAAGAACTGCATTTTGGGGCTAGAGAAATGGCTCAGTGGTTAAGAGCATTGACTGTTCTTCCAGAGGACCCAGGTTCAATTCCCAGCACCCACATGGCAGCTCACAACTGTCTGTAACTCCAATATCTGACACCTTCACATAGGCATATATGCAGGCAAAACACCAATACACATAAAATAAAAGAACTGCATTTTGCCAAGAGACAGGCAGATATCTCTGAGTTTGAGGAAGCAATAGTAAGCTCTAGGATAGCCAGAGATATAGTGAGATCCTATCTTTTAAAAAAAAAAAAAAAAAAAAGGAAGGAAGGAAGGAAAAAGAAAACTAGGATTAATTTTCTTTTAGGATAATACTTTTCAATATAGAAACCTACAAAACTATACTCCTTTAAGGTTTCAGTCTTTTATAGCAATAAAAAGACAAGAAAAAAATTAATGCTCACCATAAAAAATATAAAAGTTTAAATAAGAAAAATAAAATATCAATCATAGCTACTTCTGATAACACAGCCTTTCCCATTTCAAAGCCTCTGTAAAAAAAAATCTTAAATAGGGTCACACTGAACTTTTAAAACTCACTGAGATGGGCACCTTTCCAAAGTAGCTCAATTTAATTCTTTACCGTCAATGTTGATGGGCATGTATTTTTCTGCTGCTACTGTATGGATACAAACGGCTTAATCAAATTTATTAAGTTCCTTCAAGTTGTGAATGTTCAAGTATATACAACTCTGATCAACTACATGATAAATATAAATTACTGTGTAATAGAACCTTGTAGGATAAATTTATAAAATTAAGCTTAAACATAGTATTTTTGAGATTTAAATTTCACTATAAGAAAAATGTAATACTTTGGCTTTCTTATACAAAGGGAAATGGCCAACAGATGTGGTAAGGCATGCCTTTGATCCCAGCAGAGGTAGGCAGTTCTAAGAGACCAGCCTGAACATACTGATTTCTAGGGCTACATAACAGAGGAAGAAGGAGAGAGAGAGAAAAAGAGAGAGAGAGAGAGAGAGAGAGAGAAGAAAGAGGCCAATCACAGTCATTGTAATGTTTCAAGGGGAAAACAAATGTCTAATTCTTCAACCTGTGTGATCCCAATTCTGAATTTAAATATTCAGGAATGACAAGCTGTTCTAAAGATATTGGACAATTCTTAGGACTCAATTTAAACTCACCTATCCTTCCTTTTAACACTGTTTAAACCTGTTACTTCAGACAGAAGAAAGCACTTTCCGCCTTTAGAATAACTACCAAGTGATCGTGTGATACAAACTTCAGGAGGCAGCTTAAGTGGGATTTCTAACATCAGGACAGTCTATAGTAATACTATCAATAAAGGTTACAAGCTAAGGAGCAGCGTTCACAAAACTTTTGAACAAAGCATCACTCATACCCAGAAAGAGTTTTTAATAAAACATTTTTGATTACCAGAACTTTAAAAAAAGGGGGGGGGGGGACACAGTTTGACAATAACATGTAGTCAGTAAACTTAAAAACACTCAAGTTTTGGGTTAATGGATGATCATTTAACAAGAATCATTACTTAATCTCAAAAGCTAAGTGAGCACGAAACACAAACAGGCTTGATATCAGTTAGTGAACTCATTAGATGAGTGCCCATACCTCATGGTAAAGCCTTGTGTCATTCATTCTGATAAGCACCCCATCAATTCTCAAGAAAAACCGCAACAGCAGAAAAAAGCTGGAAGGCATTACTCTCTAGGGGGATAAAAACAGTACATTAAAATGTTAATGAAAATTAAATACTTTGTTTCTTTATGAAAAGAAAAAAAGAGAATCACTGAAAGAAAGCTATAAAGATGCTCCCTGGTATATGGCTACATCCTAAAAGCCTTCAAAAATACCTATCCAAGATGCTCTAAACAGATCTGACCCATTTGATAATATAGCTCACAATGCAAGGACAGAGTAAATGTCACGTGTTTCCAGTCGCACAGCTGTATTTCTATGGACTGCCCAGAATCTAGAGTATCATACCATACATTGATGACATGGAAAAGGTAAAATTCAAATCCCAAAATAGAGTTAAGAATGAATGTTTATCACTTTCCCAACATAAAGCCATATAATGATAAGATAAAGCAGTCCAAATCAGGGACCAACTAGACAGAGGTTCTCTGCCTTAGCTCCACCTGGCCTCCCAGCCTTGGGAAGGTTATTTACCATGGTTTGCCTCTCAAACTCACAACAACCGGTAACTCCAGTTCCAGGGGATGCAACACCCTTTCTGACTTTCAAGGGCACCAGGCAAGCAGGTGGTGCATGAGAACAAAACATTCATACACATAAAATAAATCTAAAAATAAGCAAGGCATCCAACAGGCTACCTGCAGACCCTAGAAATAACATTTTTTAGCTATAGTTTTCATTCATTTAAGTTAAATAAGATAACCCATAAAGTAGCCAGGCAAGTCTATTTTTTTAAAAAAAAGACTAATATATCCTTATTTTTCATAAATTTCATAAAAACTATTAACTAAGATGTTTAGACACAAAAGAAATTTTACATGCTACAATGCTATGAACAGAAGAATGATCAATTTAACAATCACAATACTCACAATTTTCACACTCAGGCTGGAAACTCCATGATCATGTAATTCATCTTCAAACAAGAGAACTTCTTCAAAAAATTTAATCTGCTCTCTAGCTTTCAATTTCTCTGTATCTATGTGATCTGTTGTGGGCACAACCTGGAATACACAATTTTAAATGAAGTTTTAGTATAAAGAGCTAGAGTTGCAAGAAAAATTTACCATTTTCTCTGCATAACAACAGCATACAGTTCTAAATTTGGATCTAATTAGTAGACACTGAAAGATTAGAATTTGGGCCAGGTGGTGGTTGTGGTGCACCTCTTTAATCCCAGCACTTGGGAGACAAGAGGCAGGTGGATCTCTGTGAATTCAAGGCCTGCCTCGTCTACATTCCAGGACAGGTACCAAAGCTACACAGAGAAACCCTGTCTCTAAAACAAAACAACAACAAAAAAGATTAGATTCTGCTTCCACTTTGAAACTCTGAAAAGGGGGCTGGAGAGATGGCTCAGAGGTTAAGAGCACTGGCTGCTCTTCCAGAGGTCCTGAGTTCAATTCCCAGCAACCACATGGTGGCTTACAACCATCTATGATGAAATCTGGTGCCCTCTTCTGGTGTGCAGGCATACATGCAGACAGAATGCTGTATACATAATAAATAAATAAATCTTTAAAAAAAAATTAAACTGAAAAACACTATAGATAACTGGTATTCACTTCCTATCAGAATCCAACTGTACCATCTTCCAGAATATAATTAAGTATTCTGTTGTGAAGATGAAAAAAATCATCAACTGAAAACCAGCTATAAGAGGTAAGTGCAGTTTATACTTGCATATACTTATCCGGGACTGTTAAAATGGCATGTGCACCTCAGGGGTTGGGAAATACAGAGCCTGAAGCAAAAGCATGACAACCCGTGTCAATTCCCAGAACACACAGAAAAAGCCCGGAGTGGAGGCTCCCGCATGCAAGGCCAGGACTGGGGATACAGGTAACTCAACGATGTTAATGTAGTTCTAAACTATATATATATACTTAAATTGTTTTGCTTGTTTTAAAGCATTAATATGCTAGGTAGGATACACATGATGACACTATGTTGATAGTCACACACCCAAATATTTTAAACGTATTTTTTGTTAATCCTTTTGGAAGCTCGCATCATGCACCCCAATCCCCCTCATTTTCTAGACCCTCCGTAGTTGCTCTTCATGCCTGTAGCAACCCCCAAAAGAAAATTTAAAAAGAAATAAAAATAAAAGTATTAAAACAAACAAAAAACTCAACAAAAAAGCAAGACAAAAACAAACAAAATACATACTTAAAAATTGTTAAGCTGGTAAATTTGAAAACTCATGGACATGAAGCATACTTTAGGAAAAGGAAGAAACGTCTTCCGCAGGCACTGTTCTACAAAAGCTGCTTAGTTATTTAATCAAGAAGACAGCCATCTATAGGTATTTCACTACAGGTCAGGCACATATTGGACATTGAAATTTTTTCATTAATCATATTCTCACATCATCATCTTAGGGCCAACTAACAAATACAAAGCCAAACGTGAATCTAGTCAGGTTACTGTTAGCACAAATTTGTGAGTGGCTTTTTCTTATTATGTAATATAGTTCAAAGAATAAAAATTAAGGAACCAAAAAGGAGACAGCAATAAAATGCACACCCATATACACACAAGTGCCTCCAGTAACTACAAAACAAGGATTCGAAGGCAAGGACAGGTTCTGTTCTAATGCCTCATGTTCTGGAACTTTCGCTCTCTACAGAAAATATATTTACCAGCCGGGCAGTGGTGGCGCACGCCTTTAATCCCAGCACTGGGGAGGCAAAGACAGAAGGATCTCTGTGAGTTCGAGGCCAGCCTGGTCTACAAGAGCTAGTTCCAGGCCAGGCTCCAAAGCTACTGAGAAACTCTGTCTCGGGGGATATATATATTACACTCTTATACATACAAGGCTTTTGAACAGTTAATATTTTTTGTGTGTGTGTGCATGCATGTATGTAAATACACCATGTATATGTGGTGCCCTTTCAGGCCAGAAGAGGACATCAGGTACCTCGAGGAACTTAGGTTAACTTAGATTATAGAGAGCTGTGAGTCACCATGTGGGTGCTAGAAGCCAAACCTGGTCCTCTGCAAGAACGAGTGTTCTTAATCACTGAGCCGTCTCTCCAGCCCCTCAAGAGTATTATGAGGAAGATTTTAGAATTTAAAATGTCAACCAATATTATGCATACAAATTAAAAATAACAACAAAGGCCGGGCAATGGTAGTGTACACCTTTAATTCCAACACTCAGCAGGTGGAGGCAGTAGGATCTCTATGAGTTTGAGGCCAGTCTGGTCTACAGAGCGAGTTCCAGGACAGCCAAGTCAACACAGAGAAACTATTTTGAACTCCCCGCCAAATAAAAATAACAACAACAACAAAAAAAAAACCTTCATAAATTCCTATGGAACTGATCTACATATAACAAATGAACAAAACAGTAAGTTATGGGCAGTGTGTTATCCAAATCATAGTTTAAATACTTCATCTACAAAATGAGGATACTGGACCTACCTTACAACGTTGGTTATTTTGAGCACTAAAGAACAAAATTCTAATAATTTACCTGAAAACTTTTCCACCTAAACAAGTTTGTTTGTTTGTTTTTAGATTTATTTACTTTATATGTATGAGTGTTTGGCTTGCATGTATGTATGGCACCACATGCATTCCTGGTGTCCACAAGTGTCAGAACAGGACATCAGATCTCTTGAACTAGGGTTACAGATGGTTGTGAGCCACCATGTGAATGCTGAGAAATGAATCTGGGTCCTCTGCAAGAACAGTAAGTGCTCTTAACTGCTGAGCCATCTTTACAGCCTCAGTCATCCCATTAAAACAACAACAGAAAACCACATTCATCAACTTTAGACCATAAAGCATTCTGCCATTCCTGCTATTTCAATAAACAGTCACCTGCTACCTGAGACTCTATTGAGGTCTTCACTGTGTTAGAGGCACTGCATTAAATACTTTACACATGGGATCTGCCCTGCAACTGTTAGCGTCCATTTATCAAAATGATACTTTGCAAAAGATCAAACTGTAGGCAGTTGACTCAGGGGGCAAAGCCTATCTTAGAATCCCCAAATCTTCATAAGCCAGACAAAATAGTACACGTCTGCAGTGCTGGGCCTCCTACGGGTGGTGACAGGAGAATTCCCAGAAGCTCGCTGGACACAGAGCCTAGTATACATACACATCAGCAAAAAAATAAAAACCAACCAACAAAATAAAATAGAAAACCTGTCTCAAGCAAGATGAAAGACAAGAACCCATACCCAACCATGTCCTAATCTACACTGTGGCATATGTATATCCCTGACACACACACGAACAAGAGAGAGAAAGAGATAGAGAGATAGGGAGGAGGAGGGGGGAAGAGAGAGAGAGCGCGAGCAAATTGCTTTGCCAAGCTGGTGTATGATGATTTGAACCAAAGCCTATATTCTGACAAAGCCTGAGTACATCACTCATCACTACCAGAGTGGGAGATCACACTGACACTCTTCAATAACACCGTAGAAGAAATTATATCATAGGCGAATGTGTTGGTAAGAGAATACTGAGATACACAGTTCTGGCTCCTCCTATCAGGCTCCATCTCTGTTGCCTTGGTTCTTGCTATACTTACCGCTAATGCACCCTTTCCTAAGTGAATCCTTTTATAAAGCAATCATCACTATTGCATGAGATTTTAAAAAAAACTCCAATTTCCTCACTGCTGGCAACAAAGTATCAAATGACCTCAGCTCTCTGCAAACTTCAATCAGGGGCACAGAGACTACAGTCTGTAGAGTTCTCAAAATAAAAAAAACCCACCCCACTCTCTCATTGGACTATACAATGGTACACAGCAAAAGTTTAAGGTATGTCTGATGAAATGAATAAATGAGTAAACATGCATTTTCTCAAAAATTTTGTTTCTGTACTGGAAGCACACATAAAAATCTGGAGAAAAGAAACTAAGGATTAGTTTCAGACGGCATGGTGGCACACATCTGTAATCTCAGCACTCAAGAGGAAAAAGGCAAGCTATAAGATCTTAAAATGTAGCTAGCAGAGACCTTCCAACTCCACATTCTCAGTGTCCTTGCCACCAAGTGAAGCTCTTGAGCAAGATTACACAGACGCTGCTCTGCACTAACACAACACATTAAAAAACAACTATTCGTGCAAGAATTCTGCAATGGATAAGCACTACTGTTTTTTCAATTTAGTAACGAGGTGTCTTGATGAAATAAGTTACCTAAAGGGCCAGGTGTGGTGGTGCATGACTTTGATCCCAGTACAGGGGTGGTAGAGAAAGGCGAATCTTTCAGTTCAAGGCCAAACTGGACTATACAGAAAGCTCCGCCATTCAAAGGAAAGAAAAAAAGTAACTCATCGAAAATCATACCAGATAGCTGGCGGGGGTGGTGCATGCCTGCATGCCTTTAATGCCAGCATTTGGGAGGCAGAGACAGGCAGATCTCTGTGCATTTGAGGCCAACCTGGTCTAAAAGTGAGTTCTAGGACAGCCAGGACTATTGCACAGAGAAACCCTGTCTGGAAAAAGCCAACAAATAAATAATCATACCAAATTTATGCTCACTGAAAGCAGGATATGTTTTCTGTTCAACAGTTCTCTTTGTTCCTGTGTAAAACTCTAAGCTACTAACTAGCCACTTCTAAACCACCCAATAACACATTACCAAGGACAGATGCTTAACTTGATACTGCTAACACCAAGGCAAAGTAATAATGTTTTAAAGAACATTGTTTCTAAGCTGGGCAGTGGTGGCACATGCCTTTAATCACAGCACTCGGGAGGCAGAGGCACGCAGATCTGTGAGTTCGAGGCCAGCCTGGTCTACAAGAGCTAGTTCCAGGACAGGCTCCAAAGCCACAGAGAAAACCCTGTCTCGAAAAACCAAAGGGGGGAAAAAAAAAAAAAGAAAGAAAGAACATTGTTTCTAGGCAGGTTCTGGGGCATACCTATAGTTTCAGATGCTCAGGAGGCCCAGACAGCAGTGCCTGAGTCCAAAAGTTCAATGCCAGCCTCATAAGAGTCCATCTCAAAAAAAAAAAAGAAAAAGAAAAAAGAAAACTGGCTATATCTTGCTATATCCTTCTTTTATTTTCCACTAATAGGTAATTAATAAAACTAAATCCCCTCATATTATATTCTAAAGCCTGCCACAACTAAAAATAATCAGGATGAAAGCAGTAGGAAAATATAATAACCATAACTACATAACTAAAAGATCTAGTGCCGAGATTATCCAAAAAAATTAATGATTCATAAAACCAGAAAATTCAAATTTACCTTTAACTTAAGAGATTCTCCAAGTAACGTTCCTTTATAATCTGTTGTATAGGTCCAATCATAAGGTTTAATAACTTCTTTGGAGTGTTCACCCTCAGTCCTCAAATACCAAAACAAAAATGATGAGATTTAGAATATATATTATCAGTATTCATATGCACACCAACTTACACCATGTATTGTAATATAAATACCCTACTCATACACATACAATATAAAACATTCTATATTAAAGGCAAACACTGCATTCACTAGCATAAAACCTTTCTGTTTTCTGAACATTTAACTGTTGTCAGTGCTGAAGTAGCCTTTCTAGGTTGTCTTACACTGCCAAAGACATGACTTATATTTCTCTAAATGCAAATAACTGCTGATTTAACTAACAAAAAACAAAAACTAAACATTTTCTTAAGTTTTAATACTCCACAAATATTCAATAAAATTTACGAGAAAATGTTTCTCTTCAAAAACGGGAACATTAAAATACAATGGACTGACTGGATTAAAGGGTACTGGAAAGAAATGACACCTACATGGCTCAGCTCAAATGTATTTCAACTTAAATATTCAAACAGTGGTATAACCTTTATTTTATGGCTCAGAAAAATAAGCTTTAGGATAATACAGTTTTAAATTTTAATTCTAATAAAACACACACTTACTGAACACTTCTCTTCACGTTTGACCTGTAACCACCCGATTCTCACCTACTTTCCTGCCACTCTTCCGCACAAGCTACTTTAAGCATGCCTTGGTAGTTGTTTACACATCTTAGTGCATCTGTAGCATTGAACTCAATTCCAAAGCCAGAGCCATGCTGGATCCTTAGAACATTGTCTCCAAACATCATTTCAGGGAGGGAAGGCATATGCAGTTCATCAGCTAACCTACACATAAGCGAAGATCAGGGGATTATTTTAATTTTTTTATCATTTTACATACTTATCCCAGTTCCCACTCCCTTCTCCCCTCCCCCACTCACTCCTCAGGGTGAGGCCAGGGGAGATTATTTTCTCTTCACCACTGTCATTTCTGTTTCCTTTTCACCCCAACCCAATTCTGATTTACAGAAGCGTTCAATAGTACATGACTTAATAATAATCATGATGTTTAAAACAAACTATAAAACGCTTCTGTCACCTATTTGTTCGATCTTTATGGCACTACACTAGGTAAGAGACAGTGGTGCCACATGAAGAAAGCAAAGGGAGGAAACTGGTAGGGACTGCGGCATTAAAGATAGATCTACTCCAATTTCACTACTCGCAAAATGGGATCCTCAAAACCATTCTGCGAGCTGAGGAAAGCCCAGGAAGTTCAAAAGTACTTTTGTACTCTTGCTAGTATAATACCAGTCCTTTATGTCTAATGTGCTAGACCATATGCTTCACACATGCCTCAGACAACTGCACTAGAAGATAAACAAAACAGCCAGCATCACAAATCAGTTATATATACTGGGTTTGATGATGGGGATACCCACAGAAACAGCTGACCTGAGCTAGTGGGAGCTCACTGATTCTGGACTGACAGCGGGGGAACCTGCATAGGTCCCATCTAGGCCCTCTGATTGTGGGTGACAACTGTGTGGCTGGGGCAGTCTGTGGGGACACTGGCAGTAGGACCAGGATTTATCCCTAGTGCTTGAACTGACATTTTGGAGTCCATTCTCTTTGGAGGGAAATCTTGCTCATCCTAGATATAGGGGGGAGGGCCTCAAAATAATGTGTCAGACTTTGTTGACTCCCCATGGGGAAGCCTTACCCTTTCTGAGGAGTAGATGGGGGAGGGGGTGGAAAATGGGGGGAGTGGAAGAAGGGAGAAGGAACTGGGTTTGACAACTATGAACTACAACCAACAAGGAACAATGAATGCAAGGATCCAGTAGTGGCATATACCTTGCTGGTACCAACAGCTCTCTAATCGGCCACTCCACAGAGGAAATTGTAAGTGTACTGAAAACCTTGCCAACTACCTGGGGCTAGTGAGGCTATGGTTGTTAGAGAACCTACGACCACTGATACTTTACTAAGCCAGCATGATGCCTATAATACACACTCACACACACCACCACAACCAACAACAGCTAAAGAAAAAGAGGTCATGAATTTGAGAGAGCAAGTGGAGGATTACATGGGAGGGGTTGGCCAAAGGGGAGGGCAAAAATGATGCAATTATAGTTACTTTCAATAAATAAATATATTAGTTTTGTTTTTTTTTAAACCTGTGTTTAAAAGTCCCAGTTAAAAGATTTTTTTTTTTTTTGATGCCTGAGGTTGAACTCAGGACCTTGCACATGCTAGGCACAGGACCACCTAGCTGCAACCCTAGCTTCTGTCACACTAAATGACAATTACTTATTCACTTCTGGAAAACAAAGCTGCACTGCCATACTCTATGACCCAATCACCTTGGTTACAACCTGAACTGGCAATTCAGGGATGAAAGTTCAACAACTCAACCAGAGACAATTATCCAGGGGCTGGCTAAAAACCCTGGAAACTTGGCCCAATATGCTTATTCTGGGTTGAATAATGACCAGTCATTACCGTGATTCTCTCCATTCTGAAACCTGAGTGAACACGCACAAGCAGCAAGTTCAAGAGACACAGGGTGAAACAGAAGAGAAGTTGCTAAGTAACAGAGAGAGGAGCAGGAAAGGTAGCAAGTCAAAGAGAAGGAGCAAAATTAGTAAAGTCTTCCACAGAAACTGTCCAAATTCTTTTAGACAGACAGACAGGCTTTATAGAGCAGGCAAATGTGTTTATTCCACTGTTTCAGAACTGATCTCTATCATCCCACCTAAAATAATGTCTCCTACGCAGTTACCTTGCTTTGTTTTTTATCACTTACTACTAACTGGCATTATAAAATACACAGTGAGTATATTAAAATACGTTAACATATATATGTGTGTGTATGTATATATAAAATTACATTCCTACCACTTCAAAAGACAACAAGTCTCACCGAGGTGTGGTGGTACACACCTTTAGTCCTAGCACTTGGACTAAGCAGACAGAGGTAGAAGCAGATCTCTGGGAAAGAAACCAGTCTGGTCTACATAACAATGAGGACTACTAAGAACTCAAGAACAAAGGCAATGGGTTTTTGATCCTACAGCGCACGTACTGGCTTTGTGGGAGCCTAGGCAGTTTGAATGCTCACCTTACTAGACCTGGATGGAGGTGGGTGGTCCTTGGACTTCCCACAGGGCAGGGAACCCTGATTGCTCTTTGGGCTGATGAGGGAGGGGGACTTGATTGGGGGAGAAGGAAGGAAATGGGAGGCAGTGGCAGGGAAGAGACAGAAATCTTTAATAAATAAATAATAAAAAAAAACAAGTTCTAGACCAACCAGAGCTACAACTGAGACCCTTTCTCAAAACAAAAAACACCATAAATGTAGGCATGGTGGTGCATACCTTTAATTCCAGCACCCAGGAGCCATAGGCAGGGAGATAACTGTAACTTTGAGACCAGCTTGATCCACATAGTGAGTTCTGGACCAGCCAGGAATACAATAAGATCTTGTCTAAAAACAAGCGAACAAAACCTGCAGACTTCTATCTTTCTCTCTCACATCTGAAAATCAACTAACACAAAGGTTCTGAGCAAGAAAGTACATTTTCCAGAGACCCTATGAACCAAATCTTACTGATTTTAGATGTTCCATAGATTGGTAGTTTAAAAAAAAATATGTAAAACTATCTATTGACCAGTTTTTATAGCAGAATTTACAATAAAGTATGCAGTATACAATTGGGTAACATTTTGCTCTTCATGTTGTTGACTTTCCTGGCTTCTGCTGAACCAGTAATACAAGATAAGAGCACACACAAGAAGCAAGAGCAAAGAAAACAGAAGGGACTAGGTGGGAATAAAAGATCAGCAGGAATCCGAGAGGAACAAGAGAGTAGCATGAGAAGTGTGAGTATGACTGAAACACATTATGTACATGCAGGAAAATGTCATCATGAAACCCATAATGTAACAATAGTCTTATAGAAAGTCAAGAAAAGATCTATGCACATTTATAATCTTTCCAATAGTTTTAAATTTATTTCCAATTAGACACACCAAACAAGTCTCGGTGTACATATTAAAATCAATTCATTTAAAAACATGTATGATCAAATAAAATAAGTTAGGTTTTAGAAGGAAGAAATACTGCTCCTTATGAGAAACATCTCATTTTAGGTCAAAGACCCATAGCAGTTTTTTTTTTTTTTAAGAGGGAGTTTAAATATCACCTAGAAGATGACTTAATGCACTACACTCCTATGTTCTGCTGAACTTTGTGTTTTTACATGATATCTATACCAATAATAGCTACAAAGATAATTAAGAATCTGTCACCTGTAAAAAAAAAAAACTCTTCTGGTAAAAATTTCAAGTTCTTAGCAATTTCAAAGTTGGCAATTAAAAAAAAAAAGGATGAAAACCAACACTTGCTTACAAGACTCTCTAGGCCCCTTTACATCCACCCCAAGGCCACAATCAAGCAAAACATTCTAAAAATTTAATCAGATTTATACTTTCTGACTCAGGATAGCTATACAAAATAACCAAGTAGTGAAAAGGTAATACTGAATGTCCAATTAAAATAAGTGGTTATTAGCCACCTATATGTAGGCAATGCTGGTGCACACCTTTAATCCCAGCATTCGGGAGACAGAGGTAGGTGAATCTGAGTTCAAAGCCAATCTGGTCTACAAGAGCTAATTCCAGGACAGGCTTGATAGCTACAACAAAACCCTGTCTCAAAAAACCAAAAAGTGGCTGGGCGGTGGTGGCGCACGCCTTTAATCCCAGCACTCGGGAGGCAGAGGCAGGCAGATCTCTGTGAGTTCGAGGCCAGCCTGGTCTACAAGAGCTAGTTCCAGGACAGGAACCAAAAGCTTACAAAAAAACCCTGTCTCGAAAAAAAAAAAAACAAAAACAAAAACCCAAAAAGTGGTAATTTGGGGGTGGGGGGCAATTTTGGGCGTGGGGTGGGGCAGGGTTTCCTGTAGTCCTAATTTTCTGTAACTCACTCTGTAGACCAATCTGGCCTCAATCACGATTTGCCTGCCTCTGCCTCAAGCGCTGGGATTAAACGCATGCACCACTACCACCCAGCTGCTATATTTTTCAATAAAAGGAAAAAAATAAATGGTTATACAGCTAGACATGATGACCCAAGTCTTTAATCCCAGCACTCAGGGAGGCAGCAGCTGGCAGGTCTTTGAGAGTTCCAGGGCAACAATTCAGAGAGAGACCCTAAATGTGTGGTGGCTCACACATTTAGTTCCAGCACTCAGGAGGCAGAGGCAAGCAGATCGCTTGTGTGTTAAGGCCAGTCTGGTCTATACAGTGAATTCCAGGACAACCAGGAGTATGCCAATCTCCTGTCTCAAAAAGCAAAAAACAATGAATCCACAAGAAATGGTTATATAAACTTGCTACCATACGATGAAATATTATAAAACCAGTGAAAATATTTAGGGAAAATGCTTAAGACATATATTAGGACAAAAACTGGGCACATACTGTCGACTTCACCTGTTGTGACTGCATGTTTTTAGGATGGTTAACAGTAAGATGGCATGTTTTCACCATGAAATTAGGTAAAATTTATTCTTTACTATTAGAGGATGGAAAATATTAAATACCTAAAAGATTAAATACAATAAAAGATTGATATCCATAAGAAGATTCTATAAAATCCAGGTTTTAACTACTTTCTTGAATTATACCAAATACATAAAAAAACAAACATAATTCCACAGGTTTTACTCAGTTTATCTGGAAAAATCTGGTCGTCCTAAAAATACTCCAGTTACATATGTAAAAGAATCACAACTACGTTGCGTCAAATGCTCTGTCTTCCAGCTCTATCAACTGTGCTCTCTATATGTAGTGCCTGTACTACAGGAAGGTACACGAGTAGAACATACACACACAGACAGAGACACGGGGACACAGGTCATCCTTGAAACAAGAATGCCAACTTTATTGTGCTCCAGAAAGCTTATATAGGGATCCTTAACTGAAAGCCACACCTCAGCTCCTGGGGATTTTCGGCTGTAAAACCCACCAGAATTCACTCCCCTGCTATCAGTAACTCACGAGGGTCTCGTGCTCAGAGCAGCTGCAGACACAGGAAAACAAGTTGTTTACTCTGTTCACTCCAGCAGGCAAAGAAAGTCAAGGGGCCAAGGACTGCAGCCCCCAACACTTGCTAAAGGTAAAGGGTAACATCAGAAATAAGGTGTTTGGGCCTTGTTTAGAATATTCCGGATTTATGGGCTAGAAAAGCAGTCCTAGGGTTAGAGCATTGTTGCTCTTGCAGAGAGGACTGGGTTCAGATCCCAGCACTATGGAGGCTTACTGCTATGATAACTCTCATTTCAGGGGATCCAGCTCCCCTCTTCTCAGGTACCAGGCCCACATAAAATGCACCAAACACTCATACACATACAATAAAAATAAGTCTATTAAAAACATTTTTAATTTAAAAATTTGAAACAATTTATGTTAAAAACCAGGGACTGTTTCTACATATGTAAATTTTAAATCTCTAAATAGGATCCTGCCATCACAGCTTCTCCATCATTGGCCATCAAATTGAAGCAGTTAATCTTCGTCCCTCCAATCGCTTTCTGGCCTCCTTTCCAGCAGCCCTCCAGCCCTTCAATCCATCGTCTACAACATCTCCAAGACACCTTCACTGCCAACCATAATGTCCTTTGCCAATCTGGGTAAAACTACACCTGGTGGCTATCAGATAAAACCCAACTCTAGTTCAAAACAGAACTCACTCTCCAAAGACACGGAAGGCAATTCTTCAAGCATACTCTGCCAGGTCGCTCCCAAAACTTTGTCAAGATACAATTCGGGCATCCCCAAATAGCTCAGAGCTTACTCTGACTGTGGGCTTTATTTGTCTACTCAGTCCCCAGACTTGAGCAAGATTCTGCCCAGGCAGGGCGGGTAGTGGCGCACGCCTTTATCCCAGCATCCGGGAGGCAGAGGCAGTCGGATCTCTGTGAGTTCGAGGCCAGCCTGGTCTATAAGGTGAGTTAGAGGAAAGCCAGGACTACACAGAGAGACACCCTGTCTTGAAAAAAAAAAAAAATAAACAAAAAAAGCTTCTGTCCCGATACATTGACCCCCCCACACACACACACACATCTCAAATCGCCCTGTCTATATACATCTTCATCCCCAAAAGGCACACAATTGAAACTGTGAACTCCTTGGGACTTTATCTTTCATCTTCCATATCTCGAGAGCTTTTCACAATACCTGACTTGCTAAAAGGAATAAAAGAAAAGAAAAAAGAAAATTAAAATCGCTCCGAGTCTGTATCTTCATCCTAAACAGTCACACAGTAATGTTAACGGTCTCGCAAACTCTGAAGTCTGGGGAACTTAATGGTTCAAGATCCGAATCTCAAGAGCCCACCACAGAAGCCCACACAGGCCAGAGGCTGAACATAAAAATCGTCCAGCCATCGCCCCGAGGCAAACCGGTCGTCCACGCCCAGAAAGGTGGCGCAGGCTTAGGTAAGAAGATAGGAGGGGCGATGGGGGGGGGGGGGGGAGGCCACCAAAACAGCAGCGCTCAGTCCAACCCAGCGAAGCGACGGTTTCAGCGAGCAGAGGTCGCGAGCTGGGGACAGGACCATTTCCTAAAGTTGTCACTCAACGGTCGGCTCAGAGGGACCGAACCTGCGGCCCCGAGAACCGCGTGAAGCTGCACCCAGCCCGCTAGACGCTCCCCGCCGCCGGCCCCGCAGCCTCACTTCTCCACATCCGCAGACTTCATGATGTGGGTCTTGGAGGCCGTCAGCTTCCAGGGCCCGAAGGAGAAGTCCTGGTGGCTGCTCTGGAAGCCGTGGATCATCATGGCAGAGCAGGTGCCGGCAGCAGCGGTCACAGCACGGCCCTCGCTAAAGCGCGGCTCCCGGGTTTGTCCGTTACCATCCCGGCCCCGCCCCTTGCCGCCGCGCCGTGGGCCCGCCCTTCCGCCGTCTCTTCCGCCCCTATCGGTTTTGCTTCCGGGGCCAGCGGCAGGGTCTGCGTCACTCGCGTCTTACGTGGTCGCTAGGGGGCGCGGCTTAGAGCGCCAGGGCGTTCTCACGGGCGCGTGCCTGGAAGTCTTCCGGTGACGTCATCCCAGAGCGGTTCGGGGAATACGTCTTTCTCGATCCACAGCTCCAGGCTTCTGTGTCTTACCTACTCCTTTTTTTCTTGTTTTGTTTTGTTTTTTTTGAGGTGGGGGTTCTCTATCCTGTCCTCGAACTAGCTTTCGTAGACCAGGCTGGCCTCGAACTCAGAGACCCGCCTTCTTCTGCCTCCCGAGTGCTGGCATTAAAGGCTTGCGCCCCCGCCTGGCTCTCACCTACCCCTTATACAGGCCTCTAAGCTGCTCCTCACTTCGTGCGTTATGGTAATTAGGACGTGCCCTACGCCCCTAGCGTAGGTCCAGCTAGGAGGTCCAGCACCAACACGATATATATCCGCGGTCCTCGAGCCAGTGACTGATAGTGGCTCCACTGCGCACCTCCGTGGAAAAGCACTTAATTACCTTGCAAGCCGCCGAGGCCCTGTGTTCAGTTTTGTTTGTTTTTGTTTTTTCGAGACACGGTTTATGTAGCTTTGGAGCCTGTCCTGGAACTCTGTAGACCAGGCTAGCCTCGAACTCCAGAGATCCGCCTGCCTCTGCCTCCCAAGTGTTGGGATTAAAGGAGTGCGCCACCACCGCCCAGCCTCAACTCTTAGTACCACGAAGGGAGCGACAAAGTTTCTTTAGGATATCCTGAGACTTTTCTACCTGCACACAGGTGTAGTGGAAACAATGCTGGAAGCCTGGTGCTCCATCTGTGCTTGCAGTGCAACTGTGTGCATCTTTGGCTAAAACACAACTAATTATTTTAGGCTTCCTCCAGATGCGGAAGCATCATGTTAGAGCATCTCTCAAAACTGTTTCCCATCTCAATTCCAGCCGCCCCCTTATTCCTACTCATCTTGAACGCAACATTTCATCGACTTTGATCTACTCCGGAACCACTAAGCGTCCCTTCAAGGTTTCTCACTCAGTTCCTGCCTTGGTTTCCTAGAGATGTAAGCCAAATACACCCTTTCCTCCTCAGAGATTTCTGTGCATTTCTGATCTGTGAAGGCCCAAAAAATGTGAGCCTGTTTCTACCTTGTCTGAAGATCAGAGAATTTCAGCTTGCTGGAAGTTGTTGCCATTCCACCCTGACTGAAGGTCAGAGAGTTGGAACTTATTTCTATTCCGTCAAGGTTATAGTCAAACAAGAGATAGAGAATTCTGCTCTCTCAAGGTTTAACAGGTGTGGCTAATATCCAGATCTTGTTTCTACCTCAAAAGTCTAAGGATCTAACTAAGTCCTACTTCCTTAGGGAGATAACAGATTCCACCCAGGGAGTGGTTTGCTACAGAATGTTTTGGTCTAGGGTATGAGTATTACTTGTCTTGTTCTAGCAACAGAATCTTTAAGAATGTAGTCCACAACCTTCAACTGGTATGCTCATTTCCTTGTATCATGTTAATGCAGTTGGTTTTTTTTTTCTATCTTACTCCTATCTTTTGGGGTCAGGGGTATTTTAATCAAATGAAAATTAAACATGTGTAATTTCAGTATCACTGGAACTCCCCCCCCCCACTATACTATCCTCTGTTTCTGTTTGTTATTTTTACTCTCATCTTCGTCCTCTTCTTTTTCTAATCCCCATGCCCCTACCCTGGTAAGTGGTATTTTTGTCCAAGCTGGTCTCCCGACACTGACCCGGGAACCCATCATCAATGTCCCTGCCTGAGATTCTGGATTAATTCGTTCTGTTGTCATTCTGTCCTTGCTTCCTGCCACAGTCACTCCATTCACTTTGCCCGTGGGAAGTGGGGCATGCCAGCGCCCCCGTGGAATGAAGAAGTTCATGCTGAACAGTGTTGTCTTCCTTCATCACTGGCCTAATTTTGGATTGTAAACCTCACATTATCTAGACTGGCTAGTGAATGAGTAATAAAATCCATCCCAACATTCATATAACCTAGGCTGACCTTCTGCTACTTCCCAGGTGTTGGAGTTATAGGTTTGTATCACCAAGCCCTCTTCCATTCCAACATTCTTACTATATAATGTCTTTTGAATTTTTCTAAATTAAGCCAAGAAAAATGTGGAGGATCTCTATGATTTTCAAGACCAGTCTAGTCTACAAGGCAATTTCCAGGACATCCCGGACTATGTAGACCCTGTGTTAACAAATAAACAAACAAACAAACGTGTCTCTAGTTCTTTAAGCACAGCCCATGGCTGAGTTTAGGTTTCACTCATTCTACTAAACAAAAAATGTCTGCTGTTGATGCCATCACAGTGACTGGAGAATCCCTTTTAACTACAACCTATCAATTCAAGTTCAATTTGCTCTAAAATTACATTCCTCCATCTTTGAACCTGCAATGTTGTATTTCATGTCTATACTTGTTTTCTGAAATTGTGCCGATGAAAACTAGCAAAATAATGTGGTGTTTTGTTTTGTTTTGTTTCAGACAGGGTTTCTCTGTGTGGCCCTGGCTGTCCTGGAGCTTGATCTGTACACCAGGCTGGCCTCAAATTCAGAGATCTGCCTGCCTCTGCTTTCCAAATGCTGGGATTAAAGTCGTCTGCCACCATGCCCAGAGCATGACTTTTTTATTTAATGCTTGGAACAGACTATTAATGTTGTCTACTCTGTTGTCAAAGCCTGTGACCCTGTAATACTTCCACTCTGATCACCCGTCTTGCTTTGTTATATTTCATGTCTTAAAAAAAATCTGCTCTGACTGGGCAGTGGTGGCACACATCTCTAATCCCAGCACTTGGGAGGCAGAGGCGGCAGATTTCCATGAGTTCAAGGCCAGCCTGGTCTACAGAGTGAATTCTAGGTCAGCCAGGACTATTACACAAAGAAACCTTGTCTCAAAACAAACAAACAAACAAAAATCTACTCTATTGCTTGGTGTGGTGGCACGTGCCTTTAATCCCAGCCCTCAAGAGGCAGACTCAGGTGGATCTCAGAGTTGGAGGCCAGCCTACTCTAAGAAGTGAGTTCCAAGACAGTCTGGGCTACACACAAAAACCATGTCTTGATGGAGGAAGGTCATTGGCTAATAAAGGCACTGCCCTGGCCCATTTTATTGGTTAGAGGATAGGTGGGAGGAGAAAACAGGACAGAACACTGGGAGGAAGAGGAAGTGAGCTCAGAGACTCCACAGCTCTGCTCTCTCGGGAGCAGATGCCTCAGAGAGAGACGCCATGCCCCGCTCCCGGGATGAAGCTCTGACCCAGGATGGACTAGGCTAGAATCTTCCCGGTAAGACCGGTTCTCACAGATTATTAGAGATGGGTTGATCAGGATGTGAGAATTAGCCAGTAAGGGCTAGGGCTAAAGGGCCAAGCAGTATTTAAATGAAATCAGTTTGTGTGTTGTTATTTCGGAGCATAAGCTAAACAGGTTGCTGGGGTGCTGGGGATGCAGCCCCGTTGCCCTTACTACTTCAATGTCTCAAAAATCAAAAACTAGGGAAAAAAAAATAAAGAACACCTACTCTGTATCTCTTTGTTTTTAAGTTGCTGGGGGTCAGGGACAGTGTACCCTGGGAACCAAAAAAAAAAAAAAAAACCATGAAACTGTTTGCTGGGAACTGAGCAGGAGCCTAGAAAGTTCTAGAGGAATCAAATGTCTAAAGGAGGCCACACTGCTCTTCAGTGGAAGGATAATGAAAAACATGCTCTCTAAGGGAATGTCTTGATGGAATTACTTTTTGGTTGAGACCAGGAGAAACCATCTCCAGCTTTGCTTTAGTGAAAGCATGTATTCAAGAATTTTGCTTGGGTGGTGGTTGTGGCACACACCTTTAATGTCAGCACTCAGAAGGCAGAGGCAGGCGAAACTCTGAGTTCGGGGCTGGCCTGGTCCACAGACTGAGTTCTCAGACAGCCTACAGAAAAACCCTATCTCAAAAAAAAAAAAAACAAAACAACAAACAACAACAAAAGAAGAATTTAGAGTTATTTCATGGCATAGCTGGAAAAAGGGAACAACCACCATCTGGAAGGAAGGACACAGGGGCTACAAAGTCTTGAGAGCTGGTCAGTTTCTACCGTCTTTCTCATGCCCCCTGACTCCCTTATTGCTGTCTCTATCTCTCCATCTCTTGTTCTCAGTCTGCTCCTCTTTATGTGCAGCCCCAGACCTTGGCAGTATAATCTTGCCGGCCAGCTCCTGGCTTACGTTTAAATTCTAGGCAGAGAGAACCTGTCATTTGAGCTTGAGTCAGGTGTCCATTAAGACCCAATCAACAGGGACCAGATGGGCCCTGCTGGTAGAAGCCCGTGAACAGGGGGACATAGAGTTCTCCGAGGTAGGTATCTACAGCTGTGGGCTTTGGGCCAATTAGGGAAACCATGGAAGAATTTCACTATTGCACTGCTGGACTAGGCAGACCTGGGGACTGGAGGAGAGTGGAGAAAGAGCATAGAATAAGAAGCAGAGAAAACTGAAAAATAAGTTAGGAAATTTAACCCCTTACCCTTTTTCAGGTGTGAAAAGTGTGTGTGTGTGTGTGTGTGTGTGTGTGTGTGTGTGTGTGCTTCAAACAGAAGCATAACCCTGTCTGAGGACTCAAAAAGCAAGGGTAAGGCAAGCATTGTGGTGCTTCCAGGTGCAGTAGAGATGCAATCCAAAGTTACAACTATTGTATGTAGGGCCACAAAATAATCAAAACAAGAGAATTTCTCCATATAAATCAGCTTCTAGACCTCCTGGACCTATCCTCATAATCTAAAGCTCACATATTTGCCTTCTGAGACACTACCTTACAAGAGTCATTACTCACAGCCACACGTGGTGGCGCACACCTTTTATCCCAGCACTCGGGCAGGTAGATCTCTAAGTTCAAGGCCAGCATTTTCTGTGGTCTTCATAGTGAATTCTAGGCCAGCAGTTAAGACCCCCATCTTACAAAAATAAATATTTGTTACTCCTAATATAGCTGTTACACTGTTTCTCTTCTTTTCTTTTGTTTTTCGAGACAGGGTTTCCCTGTGTAGCCCTGGCTGTCCTAGAACTTGCTTTAAGGATGAGGCTGGCCTCGAACTCACAGAGCTCCACCTGTCTCTGCCTCCATAGTGCTGGGATTAAAGGCGTTCACCGCCATGGCCCAGGATGTCTTTTATTTTCAATGGTCAGGGTGAGTTCTCACATCTCTCATCTGTCTAGAGAGCAACTGGGTGGCAGGAGGTGGGAGTACCTGATGTACCGCAGAGCTG